GGGGGGGCTACAAGGTTGGAGACTTAAACAAATCTGTTGGTGTGGGGTTAGAAAGAATTGGTCCCAACAGGCCTCCGTAGCTGCTCCTCATCTCTGCTGAAAGGCTCCAGGCTACATTAGCAGCTACTAGCATAACACACCAGGATCTTGAGCTGTCGGCATTGGCGTTGCATTGTGGGTAACGTAGGCGGCACTGATTGAGTGTCGGAGTCTCCTGATTGGTCGCTGCTCTCTCAAAACGAATTGACGTGAATGAGCCCGGCTGTTAGCCAACCCTGTTTCTCATCTTTATAATAACCTCATGAACTACGTGCTCGTGGACAAGCAAGGCTTAAGTTAAAGTGTAAACACACAGAGTCTGTTGGAGCTCTTACAGTCACTAGAAGCACATTCACACTGTTTGTAAATGTGTCTTTGTGCTACCTGTTTGTGGCTAAGCAAGCGGCTCAGTGAGGCTAACGGCTACGTAGCAGCCGCCGTCTGCAGAGTGGAAAACGTTGGTTTTATAGCAGCAGGGGTTGTTCGGAAAAGCTTCCTCCAGATCAGTTTATAGCAAAATTCAACTGTAATAGTCGGTTTCAACCAGTAGAGGGCGGTCGCTGTGTATTTCTGTAGCAAAATATGTAGAATACTTTGTAAAATGTCAATAACACCAGTAAATACCCAGATACAGAGGTTATACAGAGGTTATACAGAGGTTATACAGAGGTTATACAGAGGTTATACAGAGGTTATACAGAGGTTATAGAGAGGGTTTCAGCAGGAAAGGTTTCGTTACTCTAATATACATTTGGGCGTGTAACACATTCAAATGGTGACAACTCCTGCAGCTTTATTAACTCATTACAAACATTTCTGTCATTATGCTGAAATATAGCACATTTAAAACGTATTATTGTAATAAAAGAAACATTTGAGAAAAGAAAAGCCTCAAACCCGTTTTAACTGCTTTCGTTTTCACTCTCCAGATGTTTTCTTAACAACCTGCCAAACGTGGACACAGACCGGGAGAAGCTGCCCTGGAAGTCGTCTTTCCTCCTCAGCGTCGCTCGTGGTTTTCACGAGGACGGCGGCCTTTTTTCGGACCTTCGTCTCCGCTCACCTGCCACGAACGCCGAGAGACACTTTTACCGCACATGTTACATCCTGTACAGTTTCCTGCAGAATCAGATTGAGTCAAAGCCAGGGAAGAGACATGAGGGACACCTCTGCTCATTCATTAAGGAGGAAAATGAACGTGTATTTTTATTCATATGGCTTAGCATTTAGCTGTTTGTATTCGCCACCATGTCATTGTTTTAATTTTCCACTGACTTGCACAGCCTGTCATGATTTTGTAAAGCCGTTGCCGTTTTTAGATCATTTATATTCCATGAAATCGGTGTTTGTTTATAACGAGGACCTAAAGACCTCAAGTAGGCTCACATAGGAAAACACCTGAGTTTCTCCCCTAATTTATTACAAAACAGTCTCCAGTTTGCCTTTGTCAGTCTTCAGAGCAGGGAAACCTAACGGGACACAGGAACAGCTGTTTCAGATGGGCCATGGTGTACATACACTTTTATATCGCTGATAAAGGCAAACTCATAGTTGTTTGTGTATATTCCCCCCATGAACATTGAATGTGCATAACTTCTCTGCTTCATATGATCTTTGCTCTTAACGCTGGATGCTGATTTGTAATTCTTGAGAACTTGCCTCCATGTAATTTGTAGCTACCTTGGTGACACATTTCTGTGGCTGTGCATATTGATTGTACTTGATGCATAGTGCATAGCGCCTCGTTACTACTGTATTAAAAGGCAGTAAAATGCATGTGTGGATTCAAGTTGAGATGATCTTCATGAGTGTCTGGGTGGCTGCTGCTCTTTATTAAGGAGGTGGTGGTCTGAAGCATAAATATAGAGGTGTAGATATCTCTATGGTCACCACTGTACATCTGTGCGGTCGCCATATTGCGGAGGTCAGATCCGCTGAATAACAACTGAGGGGTTTCAGACTTCACTACAAAATCGACTTTAACTCATTAAATTGACATTAATTCACCACTTTTTGGCCAAAATACAGAATGAATACATGAATACTAGTGTGAGTGTGAGCTGTTGCATAAAGTATCAACACATGGTTCAAATTACTGTCTAACAGGAAATCTGTTTTTTTATTGTCTCAGAAGACTTTTATTCATTTTTACAAGATTAACCAACAGGGTTTTTATTCCTTACACAAAACCTAACTTAACTTTCTAGAAAATCATGTTTTCCACTGCTGCACAACATAAAGGTTGTTGAAATCGCCCCAGGAAACTGTTCGGGGTGGGCCTCCACATGTACGAGAGCAGACAGTAAGGTCTGTGGACAAATACCGTCACCGTGTGCAACTGAGCATGAAATGAGGAACCCTCCGGGACCAGGGCTCCGAACAGCTGTGGATTATATCACAGCAGCCAGAGGATGTCTCACTGCACATGTGCACGATTACAAAACTGAATCCAGGGTTGTGATTGGATTTCAAATCAGCAGGAGGGTGGCAACAAAAGTAAGGTTGGAACTATTAATATATAATAATAAATGTATTAGTAATTAGTTACACTACTAGTTACTGGGCAGAGATACTCGCTTCTGTCCAACCCTGTCCCCTTACACACTGAGGATGGACTGTACAGTGAAACATCCTGTGTCCAGCAGGAAAACTTCAGTTATTTGTTTTTTTATTAGGGCCTGAGCAGTAACATGCGTAGCTAAGTATTCTCTTGGTCCCGCCCCCCCAGGATCAGCCCCCAAGACACGACATGTATGAAAATTGGTACACGTGTGTCATGATCAGACAAGCAAAAAAGCCTCATGAGACCCCAAACCCAACAGGAAGGGTTTTTCGTGTTGTATTTGAGGGAATTTATCAGATCGACTTCAGATTCGGTCTAAAAACATTAACAATTAACAGTTGTGCTAATTGTGACTGTACATCGAACAGTGTGCCCGTGGCGTGTTATCGGATTTTGACGATTTGCCATAAAACAGGAAGTGCCTGACAGATTTTTCCCTTTTCATGAGCAGGATCCCTTGAATTAGTTTTTACAGTTTAAATGCAGGGAGGAAATAGAAAAATGAATTTTTAATGAGGTAGGAGGAGATGACTTTTGTCTGTGTGATATTGAGTAAAGATTATCATAATGACTTAAAGGTCCCTTAAACAGTGTACACTGTACACAGTGTCTTTAATATTATCTCTGTTTAGGGAACCTTTAAT